CTTATAAAGGGTTTTTAGTCTTGTCGAAATTCTCACAACATAGGCTGGAAAGAGATGGCTCAGCAGTTAAGAGCCCTCACTGCTCTCAGAGAGGACCTAAGTTGGATTCAAAGAACATATGTTGTGTCACTCAAAATAGCTATAACTGCAGATCTAGGGGATCTGATACCTCTGGCATCCTCAGGCAATGGCACATGCTTGCACAAATGCACACACTTATGCATAACTTAAATATAAAGTAAAATTCTCAGAAATACAAGTAGATTTGGGGCATCTATTCGCTTATCAGCTGCAATGAAAAATGCCAGAACTAGGTTTCCCTAGGGTTTTGTTGTTCTTTTGTTCTGAATAGGACTTGTCCTTTCAGTTCTAAGCTTTACCACAACACACTAGGCAATTTGTTTAGGATCCGCCATCTTCTCCAGCCTTAATAAACGCCCCATGTAAACGTGTCCAAATGTTTCTGAGCAACTGTTTTCACATGGCATGGAGCAGCAGTGTGTTGCTGGTTTGGTTTTGCTTTGATTTGGTCAGTTTGACTGACCTGTGGATAGGGAGGATATATAACATTCTAGTTTAGTCTATGAGTGTGCTTCTCCATGGGGTTTGCATTTTTAGTAAGCAGAACGAGTCAAGTGATTGCTCTCCCTGAGGTCTGGCTTTATCCAGTCTGTTGAAGGTGAACCCTATACACACTGAACTCCCTTGCCTTGTGGAGAAGTCCTCCAGCCTGGCTACGATAAACTGAGACACTAGTTTCCCCCCCCCCCCCCCCGCCTTTGAACTCAAATGGAAATTCTGGCCCTCCCTTCATCCTGAGCCCACCTGCCTTTGGACAACACTGACTTTCACCTTTAAAGTGAGACTAAGCCAGGATAGAAGGATGCGATGTGAGGCCCTGGGAAGGAAGTGTGAAGAGAAGTCCAGTAAAGAACAGGGTCTGCCTCTAAGTGGCTACATGCACCTGATTAGGGAACCACCCCTAGGAAGGCGGGTTTACCATTTAATGTGTTTTTCTTGCCAAAATTTCCACCCACTAAGGCAGTTTCTATTAGCTGAGCCTACATGAGGTGTGGCTGGACCTACCCACCTTTCTGAGGCCCACCTTCCAATACAGGAACCACTTCTATGCTGGCTAGAGCCTTTAAACTCTCTAACCAGTGCTCTGTGCCTCCTAGCTTCCGTTCTGAAGCTGGCCTACCCAGCATGCCACCAGGTGGCTGACCTCCACACTGCTTTACTCCAAGCAGTGTTGCTTCTGTTCTTTTCCATTCTCCTCTTCCTTTGCAGGCAGCTGTGATGTATTCACAGCATGGCTGCCCTGGAGTCCTCCTTTTAAATTCTAATAAACTGTCCTGAGTTTCTGCTTGAATCCATTCCTTGTCCTCCAGCCTACTTATGTGTACTCTTCAATTCTTCTATTGATGAAAACAAGAACCCCCAAAGGAGACCCTGACTTCCCCGGCATCATATGATGGCTCTGCTGGGACTCCCCAATATTTTCCCTCCCCTCCCCTCTCCCAAAATTTGGAAATCTTTCGAGACACTGAGAAGAGCTCAAAGGCTGCCTTGGATGCGAAACCCCATGTTCTCAGTGTGTAAGGTGAGGGCATGACTGCTTCAAGGTATGGTTGAGAAGGTCTTTATTGTAGTTATGAGGGAGAGCACAGTCAGAGGCATCTGGGAGAATCCAGGGCAGGGAGAGAAAGTAATAGATTAAACATGGCCAGCAGACTGAACCGACCATGAGAGGAGAAGGGGGATGAGGTGTGGAGAGAGAGGGCACAGTGCCATGAGAAGAGGGGTCAAGGAGCAGCACAGAGAACATAGGGCCCAAATGGCAGGGTCACAAAGGGTCTCGTTAGAAGCCGGAGGAGGGATCTCATGGGTTTGGGGGTACTCAGAGATTCACCATGGCCATGACTACATTTTAACAAATAAGAGGCTATATTAAATACTGGTGTCAGGTCCTCATCTGAGATTCAGGATCCTCAAAATGCATCACCTAGACATATTGGTCCTGGGCTTATAATGGCAGAAACCACAAATATACAGCTTTTGGGGGGGTCAGGTTATCTCACATCCTGTGGTGACTAACTTACAGTAGACATCCTGTAGATTCCACCATTATCTCCAGCAAGCAAATAGTATTTACAGAAGCAAAATTATCGATTAGTCCCAGGACCCATTGTCTTGCAGGAACAATTCTTAAGATTAGCTCGACTATGTCACTCCCGGAAGTTATCTATCTTCAGCAAGAGCCCTGATGGTCCATTTCACAAACTAGCAGCTGACAAGCTGAAACAACTTTCTCATGGATTCTTAAAAAACAATAGTGTTCAAATTTTGAACACTATTCACAAGTTATTCACTATCACAGGGAAGCCTATGAGTTGGACAAGTCTAGGTAGAGAACAGGGTGAGAACTGAGAGAAGCCAGGATGCCAACATGAACTCTGAAACTGGTACTTGAGATGCTGAGACAGTCAGGAGGCCAGCACGCACTTTGGAGTGTCAATAGGCACCACAGTTAGTCATTTGTTCCCAGTTTCTTTTAGACCTGACGCCAAACTCCACTATGGAAGAAAAAATTATTTAGGACCATTATCCTAAAGTTCAGGATAACAGAAACTACCACCACCACACCACCACACCACTATCATTACCACCACCCTGTGAACTTCTTTTGAGAAGTAAACCAGCAAGCATACAGTACATTTGTGTTTCCATTTATGAATTTCTAATGTTTTCTTCAAACTCTGCATCCTTCACAGCCTCTGCCACCCATTCAGGTCAACATCCAACCTTTTATTCCCTATCATTGCTCTATCCCATCCTTTTTCCTCTTCCCACTCCTGCCTCCTCCTCTACCTCCTTTTCCTTTTCTTCTCCTTCATCGTCCATCCATAACTGTCCTCCACAACTGTCCTCACTGCTTGCTTTTCTCAGGAGACACTATACTAGGCAGCAACTGAGCCAAATGTTTCAATGCACACACACACACACACACACACACACACTCTCACATATATATATACACACACACACACACACACACACACACACACACACACACACACATCCTAAGCCTCTGGTTGTTCAAATATCAAAAAAAGTGGATGTCGATTTTAAAAATCAATGCATAATTGCTTTGAAAATTAGTAAGTCATACACACATAAATACTTGCAAATGGTCTGCCACAGTATAGTGCTCAATAATTTTCATCTGTTCATTTCTCACCCTTTCTCTTCCTCTTCAAAGAAGATCAGGGTATAGAGCAAAGGGATTCTAAATGGTGAAGTCCACAGCAACATCATCATGACTTTAAAACAAATACATCCTCTTCAACCTAACCTTAGCATCAAATAATTAAAATTCTTAATCTCAACTAGGTCCACTATACAGTGGCCATACTACTGACCAATCCAGATTTTTGCAATCATGTATCAAGATGCCTTTCTACTCAAAAAGTTAGCACTACACAGTCTAATGAAAATCAAGCAGTTTGTTTGTATGGCCTTGCTCTAGTGGCAGAAGTTGTTTTGCTGTTGCTTTGTTTGGGGGAAATACCAAGTATTGGAAGCAACTAAATATTTTTCTTTATGTAAATTAACCAAAGCCAGGTATGTCGATGCACAGCTGTAATTCCAACACCCAGGATGCTGAGGCAAGAAGATTGTGAGTTCGAGCCCACCCTGGGCTACTAAAAATACCCTGTTTCAAAATAATAATAATAATGATAATAATAATAATAATAGTAATAAAAATATTCTCTAAGAAACTAGAGGCCACTATGTTGAAGAGTAGTACTTACACTGTGGTCAGAGGAGGAGTCTTCACACTGTGATCAGTACAGAAATTGAAAACGTTTCTAAACCATTTCAGCACTTTGTTGTTGTCCTGATAGACAGTTCCTGATCAGTGGACTTTTCTTATTTGAGAACCCAGCAGTTCGGGTATCATATTACTGAGCCTCACGAAGCTGAAGCTGTTTATTGGTAACGCATAAAGAATTCGTATGCTAGCCAGCTAGAGATTGGATGGAAAGGAGTAAAGGGCTGCCCTTTAATTTTTAAAGTGGAAATATCAAATGATATTGGAATATTTCGCATGAAAATCTGTATGTTAGCGCTCAGCATTGGTTGGTGGCATAAGCCTTTAATTCCAGCACTCGGGAGGCAGAAGCAGGCGGATCTCTGTGAGTTCCAAGCCAGCTTGGTCTACAGAGCTAGTTCCAGGACAGGCTCCAAAGCAATACAGAGAAACCCTGTCTTGAAAACACACACACACACACACACACACACACACACACACACACACACACACACAGGCTCCAAAGCAATACAGAGAAACCCTGTCTTGAAAACACACACACACACACACACACACACACACACACACACACACACACACACACACACACTGCTAAAACAATCCGCCCCAGAGCAAAAGCTTCAAAGAGGCTTTTAAGCTGGTTTTCAAAGAATGGAATGGACATTAGAGAAACAATATCCACTGTCTCTTCATTTGTTTACTAACTTACCTACTTTGGAGACTTATGTATCCCACACTGGCCTGGATCTCACCAAGTAGATTCAGGATGGCCTCAAACTCAGAGTTACCTCAACCCTCCAAGTGCTGAAACTGAAGGCGTACTCCACCACACCAGGCTCTCCAAGCTCGCGAAACAAGGCTTCAAGACCTTAGACATCTGCTTGATCTCAAAATGCTCTATAGGTGTGTTTAGAATTAATCACTTTCTACTCTGTTGTATTGGTAGGATCCTGGCAGGGGTTGCGGGAGGCACATCCTACAGTGTCTACCAAAACATTCTCGTTCAAATCAAGTGAGGCTGTAGATTCGAGCACTCTAACTTTGGCTGGTTCCTGGAGAATAGCAAAGTCTTCAGAGAGTAGATGACTGGGAACAGAAAACCACAAATCCCAGGATGCCAAAGTGACAGCCTACAACTCCCAGCATGCTTGAGGGCTAACACGGCGGCTGCGCAGACTAGCACGCGGGTGCTCCTGGGACGCCAGCATGGCGGCGTTCGCAGATTTGGATCTAAGAGCGGGCTCGGACCTGAAGGCTCTGCGCGGACTGGTGGAAACCGCTGCTCACCGTGAGTCTACTGGCTTCGCGCTGCCAGCCCGGCCCTTCGCTCCCCCCCATACCACCCAGTTTGCTTGGTAGTTTTTCCAGGCGCCATTATTCGATCTCTCGTGGGTTTGCTTCATTTCCCTTGAGGCAGATGTAGTTGCTGCGTCTCCCGCATCCCTGGCGTGGGAAACTCAAGGCTCTTGAGGAAGGTTGTCGTGGCCTGGGCTTGCCCAGTCTTCGTGCAGAGGGAGAGAACGGAGGCCAAAGGGGTCGAGGTATTGGCTCGGGTCTTGTAGAAACTGGGACTGGACTCCAGGTCTACATTCCCCTACGCCGGTGCTTTTAATGTCAGTCCTTTTTGACTCAGAGGATGTCTGTCAAATACAGAAAGACGGGTCACAGGCGGGAACTACTGTGGACGCTTAGAGAATGAAGAGGTTGTTGTCTTATTTCTCGGCATTGTAAGTTCCTTGGGGGTGAGCATTAATCATGTGTGTTCTCGCCTGCCATAGGGTCTGCCAAATAGTGGATGCTCTAATACCTTCGAGAGGAAGGAAACTAGGGAGTTACTGGACTAACTGATAACAGGAAGGACCTCTATTTTGCCATTACCATGCATTATCTTTAAATTAATACTCTATCATCCGGTAGGTATTTAGACAACTTAAAGATAGGAGTTGTGATTTAGATATATTGGGGGCAGAGACACTTGTCCAAACACTGCTAACTGCTGTGATGATAAGGCAAATCTCTAGTGTTCCCTGTCTCTTGCTGTAGAGCACCTCAAAAAAAGGTGCAAGAGAGTCATCCTTCCATTGTTCCTTAGATAAGGGGGAAATTGAGCATCGCAGAAGAAGTGAATGATAATGAAGGGGACAGAAAGACACATAAACTTGATGGAATAAAAATGAACAAAGGGGCAGGAAGTCCTGGGAATATTGTTTGGAAAGCAGAAACATGTGTTTTTAGTATTGTGCTAACATAAATCACGGTCTAAATGTGTGCCTGGCAGTCTTCTAAAACGCATGGGCTGTTTCACTTAATTTTTGTAACATTTCAAAGTGCTGTCTGTTGTTAACGTCACTTGACAGATGAAGAACCTGAAACCTAATAGTAAACATTAGTGCTTAGATCCTGCCCCATCTCCTTATTTTCCAAGTCTGGAAACAGAGTCCAGGGTTTTATGTATGCTAAGCAAGCATTTTTAACACTTAGCTACATCCCTAACCTCATCTCATGCTCTGGAATGTAAGGTTAGGATGACCCTTGTGAACAAGAAAGAATATTTTTTACATAATCTTGTTTTGTTTCATTTTTTTCAGTTGGATATTCAGTTGTTGCCATCAATCATATTGTTGACTTTAAGGAAAAGAAACAGGTAAAATAAGATTTCTCAGATTAACTAGTTAGTAAATATTAAGAATTTACAAGCCCGGTGGTGGCGGCTCACACCGTTAATCACAGCACTGGGGAAGCAGAGGCAGTGAGATCTCTGAGTTCCAGACCAGTCTGATCTACAAAGAAAACCTGTCTCAAAAAAAAGAAAAAGAATTTGACAATACAAATATTTGTGTTTTCCTTGGGAATATGGAACTAGAAATGTGTTATATTGGTTACTTATCTTGTTGTAATGACCACATACTTGACAAAAGCAACATAAGAAAGCAGGGGTTTATTTTCTTATACTTTGGCAGCGAGAGCATGAAGTGGCTGGCCACAGTTCCTCCTAAGTCAGGAAGCAAAAGGAGATGAATGCTGGGGATCAGCTCACTTTCTTCTTTTTAGTTATTTTTCTTAGGACCCCAACCCTTGAAATAGCACAGTTTGCATTCAGGGTGGGTCTCCCTCCTGGATTAATCCTTTATGGAAACACCATTATAGAAATACAGAAATGTGTTTCCATCATCATTTCTAAATCCAGTCAAGTGATAGTGAAGCATAAGTTATCACAGGCATATTTCTGTTTGGAGACAGAATTTTATATGTCCCAGTCTGGCCTGGAACTCACTGTGTTGCCAAGGATGACCTCCTGCCTCTACCTTCCAAGATTACAAGCCCATGCCCAATTTATGAGATGCTGGGGTAGAAGCCAAGGCTGTGTGCATTTTAGAAATTACTCTACCTCTACCAGCTGAGCTGTATTGTAGCAAGTCTTCCTCTGTACTCCAGCTCCCAAATAATGATATGGATACTTCTTATTAATTATGAAAGCTTGGCCTTAGCTGAGGCTTGTTTCTAACTAGCTCTTATGACTGAATCCATTTCTGTTAATCAACATGCTGCCACGTAGCTCACGGCTTTTACCTCCCAACTACATGCCCTGCTTCCTGAGTCCAGGAGTCCCACCTATACCTCTGCCTAGCTGTTGGCCATTTAATTTTTCATTGAAACAATCACAGTGACTTATCTTTACACAGTGTAATCAAATATCTTGCAGTTGCATCTCCAACCATTCTACTAACTGAGCTGCATCCCCAGCCCTCAGCTGTATTTCTTTAAAAACACCCTATGCTTATTATTTTAAATTAATAATTGAACTAGTATATAGTCCTCCAAATTCAAAGATGTTTAAAATTACATTGCTGTTAAATGAACTATAGCCACATTATCTGTTTACTCTGTTGCCATGGTCTTATTAACTCATTTACTGATTTTTTTTTCTCTTTAATGGATTATTAAATACATATATGTGTATATTTCTTTTTAGGCAAACAACTGTGTCTTATAGGTCATTTCTGCCTTCAAAATTTGTTCTTATTTTTATCCTCTGATACTCTTAGCATCTTCTCTGATCCTTAGTTTCTTTCCTTAAAAAGAGGAAAGCTATTTCATAAATTTGAATATCAAAAAGTACCTTTCTTTGATTTTTTATTTTCTGAGATGCCCTTAAAGTGTTTTGTAGTGCTTTGTTCTTTAACGTGTAACTGTTTATCATTTGTTGTAGGAAATTGAAAAGCCAGTATCAGTTTCTGAACTCTTCACAACTTTACCGATTGTACAGGTAGGCATTTTATTGTCTAAGTGTAATGTCTATCTATTTCATTCAAACTTGCCCCCCTTGTGTGGTGGTCTCTAACTTCAGCAGCACGTGCCCTCTGCCTGTTTCACCTTCCCATCAGGACTTCCCTCTTCATCCGTCTTTACTGTCCATCGGTCCTGAAGTCCCACCGCTATTAAATAATCTCATTGTGTTGTTTACTAGATGTGCGTGGTGTTTTCTTCTGCTAGTATAAATTCTTGTAGAACAAGCACACTTTGTTGATCTGTACTGTCCTTTGTAACTTTTACTATCTTCTACTGGTAAAAAAGAAATGAATCAATTGCATTTTATCTTTTTTAATGTTGTATTTTTGTTTATAGGGAAAATCAAGACCGATTAAAATTTTAACTAGATTGACAATTATAGTTACAGATCCGTCTCACTGTAATGTTTTGGTGAGTCCATTATTTTTCTACATTTGGCCTTCTAAACTTTATTAACTGACACTGTCACATTTCATCTCACCCTGTTCTTCCGCCACCTGTATCCCTCAAACCCTGACACCTGCCTGCTTCCCCTGTGTGTAAAAGCCACACAACACAATGTGTCTTACAAAGTTAGAAGGCACCAGTGGCAGAAGACAAGTATCATACATTATTCCAGCACTCAGAGATTGTACATTCGGAATGTATTTTTTCATTCTCATATACAGTATCAAGTTTGAGGTTTTTCCCTGTTAAGCAGTAACCATGTTGCACTGACTTTTTCTCCTTTCCCAGAACAGAAATATTTTCTTCTGCATCTGGCATTTTAATTTTATTGAGCACAATTTTCATTGTGAGCTTGTGTGTTACAGTTATGTGAATTACCCACAACACATGAAATAGTTTATCCAGCTCTATCTAGGAAAACATGCTAATTCCACTGAGGGCTGTCTTAATTAGGGTTTCTCTTGTGATAAAACACCATGACCAGAAGCAACTTGAGCAGGAAAGTGTTTATTTCAGCTTACAGGCAACCATTTCATTAAAGGAAGTCAGGGCAGGGACTTGAGGTAGAAACCTGGAGGCAAGAACTGGCGCAGAGGGCACAAGAAACACCTGCCTACTCTCCTGCCCTCCATAGTTCATTCAGCCTGCTTTCTTAGAGTACCCAGGACACCCGTCCCAAGAGCACTACTCCCCATAATTAGCTGGGCCTTCCCACACCAATCATCATTCAAGAATATGCACCACAGGGCAGTCTGATAGGGGCCTTTTCTCAACTGAAGTTCCCGCGTCCCCAAATGCCTCTACCTGTCAAGTTGACATGAAATTAGCCAGCACAGTAGACCACTTGTCAAGTTCATACACAAATACATCACTGTTAAACCATAACTTTTCAAATCTGGGTTAAAAGGGACCTTTGTTCCCTAAAAGGCTCCCATCTTTGTTACCTGTGTGTCAGTCATGGGAATCCAGCCGTGATCGGCGGCTTTTAAATTTATGCTCTCCTGTCTTGAGTGTTGTGAACACAGGGACTTGCAGCCAGATGTGGTAACTCAGACCCCAGCACTCAAGCAGTTGAGGAAGGAAGATTGGTTTAAGTTTGAGGGTGTTGAACGCTGCTAGGTGACCGACCAGGCATCTGTTTAGATATCTTGCTACTGTGTAATAACATTCATTTTATCTTATAGAGAGCAACTTCTTCAAGGGTCCGGCTGTATGATATTGTTGCAGTGTTTCCAAAGACAGAAAAACTTTTTCATGTAAGTGACATGTGAAAAGGGATAATGTTTTCTCGTTATGTAAGTCTGTTGTTACAACATAATAGATGCCCTGTTCCTCTTAGTTCTAGTTTCATTTCTGTTATTGTGATAAAATAACTGGACAAGAAGCCACAGGGGAGAAAGAATTAGTTATTGTTCATCATTCTGGGAAAGCCAAAGCAGGGATTTCAAACAGCTGCTGAGAAAAGGTCTATAGTCCAGAGCAGAGAGGAATGCATATGTATGCGCTTGGTTACTTGTGCTCAGCCTGATTTCTCCATTCTTAAACAGTTCAAGACACCACCATCACCACCCCACCACTCCTGCCTGGAGAACGGTGCTGCTCACAGTGGGCTGGGCCTTCCCCACACTGATTGTCTTAATTAAGACATAATCCATGGCCAACTCAATGTAGATAGTCCCTCATTGAGACTGTTTTCCCAGGTTAAAGTGTTTTTCTAATTATTCTTTATCAATAAAAACTCAGGAGTCAGATATCATGGTAAGGACCTGAATGATCAGAGAATTGGCAGAGAACTGTGACTGCCATGCCCCCTTTCTAGATCCAAAGGGGCTGAGAATCTGTCTAAGCCCTATCCTACTACTTCCTGTGTTTCTCTATGTGTCCTCAGTCCTCTAAAACCTCTATGGCTAATTTTCGTCAGCTAGTAGCTAGCTTGGCCTTCTAATTCAAAGTAAACTTAATTTGCAATCTCAGGAGTGGCAGAATGCCATCAAAATATCCCACAACACCAGGTGATTCTAGGTTGTGTAGTGTTTACAATGAAAACTAACCGTTATGAGTCCCATCTGGAAACATTTCGTATTTTCTGTTTGCACTCAAAGTTCTCAGATTTCATAGGGGCAGATATAAGTGGCATGCTGGCTTGGTTTTAGTCATCCTGGTAGACATTTGATGGATTCAATGTGAAAGCGCTCATGAATTTTCTCCTGTTCTTTTCTCTGTGCTTTGTTCATTTGAAATTTCTCCTTGATAAATTCATCCCTTTCCACTCAGTAACCACTTCAGTTTCTGGCCTCATCTACTTCTGCCTGTGAAAGAAGAAAAGGGCAAGCCCCTCTCTGGTCCAGCTCCGTCCTTTGTAAGCTCTGACGTGTAACCTATATGCCAGTGTAAGTGTCAGCCCTTAGTTTTCCAGAAACTTCTCAGAATCAACTGTTTACTAATGATTCCCTTCCTATTGAGAGCCTTTGTGAATTGAATTCCTTTTGTTCTTTTAGAATTGACCTGTTGATTTTTCAGAAGAGAAGGAACTTAGCATGTTGACTCATTCTGTCTCCAAGATAGACTCCCCTGTTCTTTCAAATGATTACAGTGGGGAAAAACTGAAATAATCACTTAAGTAATGCTTTTTCAAGGAATGCTGAGGAAAATGAGGTATAATTACTTTTAGATGAAGTTATGAATGTTTTCCTAACTTAGTCTCGAAAAGGATCCATCAGCCAAAACAATATTGGAGGAAAAAATACTGGTCTTACTTTTTTTTTAATTTTACACTACCACCCCCCCCTTTTTTTTTACAGTAATATTTTCCTCTTTTGAAATTGTAATTTAATTACATTTTTCTCTTCCCTTTTCTCCCTCAAAACTCTCCTATATACCCCTCCCATCATTGATTTCTATTACATGCATATGCATATATATATATGCATTTGTATATACATATATATTTCTAAATATAACCCATTGAGTCCATATAAATGTTATTTGTGTGTATGTTTTCAGGGCTAACTTTTTCAAGCAAAAATTGTTCCAAAGCTGTAGACAGATCTTTTTACCCTAAGTTTATCCAGCAGAGGGAGCCATTGACTAAGCAGACGGATGCAGTGTCTCAGGGTTTAGCATCAGTTGTTAATTATGTTAGTAGAGAGAAACACCACAACTGCAGATTGTCTAGGATGCCAGTGCATTAATACACACACACCACACCACACCATTTTTAGTAGCTTCTTTTATGAAATGAAAGGTTATATTAATTCTCCAGTATTTTGTTATAGATTAAAGAATGAGTAGAAGCAAGTCCTTAATCCTCAAAGACCTCTAGACCAGGTGTGGTGATACAGGCCTTTGCTACCAGCATTCCATCACCAGCATTTTGGAGGCAGGGGCAGATGGATCTCTGCATTTAAGGTTTACATAGCGAGTTCAAGGACAACCACCACACCTGGCCAGGAAGTAACTTTAAAAAGTTGTGGTTTTGTACTGCTCCTGCAGTCTTTCAAGCCTTGCCTTGCAGGATACTGATGAAGAGTATCTGCACAAAGGGAGCATCTCTCAAGAGATGTCTAAGTCTTTCAGCTTCAGGTTTATCTGGGATTACTATTAAATTACAGGCTGTTAGGTCTTATTTACTGACTGAATCTGGAAATATAGCCTAGCCAGCCATTTGTGATAGTTTTTAGGTGAATTCTGTGCAATGTACAGTTGAGAGCTACTGTTAATGGGCATCTCTCAGCCTTGACAAGCCTGACTTCTCCCTGTGTGGTATGATGAGTGCTGGCATCAGTGAAAGGCATCCAGCATGAAGGGGTGGCTGAGCCCTACCCTCTTGTGCCTATGTTCCACAACAGCAAAATATGTTTGCACATTTTTGTGGGGACATACTTTTCTTAAACAATCATAGATGTCTCTGCCCCTCCAAAAATTAAAAAAGGGTTAAGATAGCTAAGTAAATTCAGATACAATGTACCAGTTTTCAGAGAGAACTGAAATACTTAGCTCCAAAACTATTTTAAACATAATTCAGTCATTTGATTTGGAGAATATTAGATTAAGCCTCCCCAGTGCTAGGAATAAGGGCGTGTGCCCCTGCTTCGCATAGTTCTTTGAATGAACCAGTTGAACAGTTGGATTGATAGAAATTTAAGTCACAGGGTACTTTAGTTTAGAACATTTTAAATTGAAGAGGTTAGAGAAGTCAAATGAAGCTGTGGCCGAAAGTTCTTTACAATGCCTCATAGCAGAGAGGAAGAGACAAAAAAAATGTGTGATGAGAAGGAGCCCAGTTCACCTCTATTAGGGAAGCCATTTAAAGCCTTATTTTCATTAAAACTAATTATGTCCATGATAATAAATTCCAGCATCACAGAAGCTTATGTATAAAAAGCATGCTTTCCGAGCTAAATTTTCTCCGGAGACTGATCTCTTGTGCATCTCCTCAGAAATACCTTCCCCCAAAGAGCGCTTAGATTGCCAAGTAGGGAGAAGAAATGCATGGCTGTATGCACACTGGCCTGGCTTCTTAAGGTTGTGCACCACTATGGGATCCTTTGCAGAATGGTACTCATATAATGGTTTAAAACAATACATGCATAATTGACTGTACAGGATGTCAATCAATCTGGGTTTGCTTTATTTTATTATATAAGTATGCATATATATATATTTGATATCCTGTACATTGCACTGGGTATGAAGATAGTATTTTAATATTTGTACAAAGTTTAATTTTAATTGTCCTATTATATAACTGTTTCTAAATAATAATAAAAGTTCTTTTGAAGGAAAAACAGAAAGAAAGAAAGAAAGAAAGAAAGAAAGAAAGAAAGAAAGAAAGGAAGGAAGGAAGAAAGAAAGAAAGACCTTCCCCCACTAAAACCCCTTGCTTGTTAACTCCAGAAGCAACCACCACAGACATTCTTTTGTTATTTTTCAGAAATATTTACCTACTTCTTTGACTCATTGTCCACTGTTTCTCCCTCTGTATTCTCTGTCATCATACATTTTGCACTTAAAGTATATGAGATCCATAACTACAAATGTACCTTCCCCTTTAAAACATTGGCACATTCCATCCTATTAGAGACCAAGGGGTTTGTAATTACTTAAGTAAAATGGAAAGTTTTTTTTATCCTATCCTCTCTTTGTGATGGGTCTGGCACTATTGTCCCTAGCCTGTGTGGAATTTATAGCTATAGAATATAATAAAGTCCCTATAAAATATATTTCTATAGGTGGTAGTGCTAGTACAAACATGAATTGTTAATGTTTACTGGCGCTGTGTCTCAGAGGTAGAGCATTTTGGTGTTCTCAGGACCCTGGTCTGGTCCTCAGCAACAAGGAAGTAAACTGTTGGTGGCTCTTGTCATTGTGCTCTTCACTGTGCTCCTAAAGATGAACAGATGCTGGACTCAGCTTGGCTCTAAACCTCTGCAGAGCCTCTCTTCATTTTTAGCAAAGTCTCTGTCATTCTTTGTGAGTTAGACAGCTGGAACAGTTGGGATGGGCAGATACTTTCGGAGCCAAGTGTTTCTGCCAAAACAACATAGTTTCCCAGGCTTACCATGTAACTATGATCATCTTTAAGCCAGGTGGTCTCTGATGAGCACTAAGCCATGGGGCTGGGACAAGAATGATGGAAGATGGCATTCTGAGGAAAATGGGTGAGATGTGACATCTGTCACTGGTGAAGAACTGCCCATCCTATAGCATTACCAATACTTTCTTCCCTCTTGTTCCTCACACCATGCTTTCCCTTGTTCTTACTACAGACACTGATTTACCAGATTTGCTTATGGAACCCATGTGCATCAGTATCATAAGTAGGGGTGGTTTTTTATTTCGTTTTTCTTGCTATGTGTGTGAGTATTTGCCTGCATGTATTATGTGTATCACATGTTTGCCTGATGCCCACAGAGAGCAGAAGAGGCTATTAGATCCCCTTAAACTAGAGTTATGGATGGTTGTGAACCATCATGTGGGTTTGGGAACTGAACTCAGGTCCTCTGAAAAAACAACAAATAAATGCTCTTAACTGCCAAGCCATCTCTCCAGCCCCAGTGGAATACTTTCAATATAGTACAAAATAGCCAAATCTTTTTGCTTCTAAACCAAGTAGTGGCTGAATGATTGCTGTCTAGGCCTGTCCTGGCAGTATCTTTTGATTTGCACTCCATAATCTATCCACCACTTGCTTTCCACTCTAACTTTTCTATTTATCCTGGTTGCCTTATCTGTTTCATTTATTTTGTATGTGGTTTATACAAGTACTTTCAAAACTCTCTTTGTGATAAGTACAGAGAATTGATCAAGGAATAAAAATGCATTCTCATTTGATTTATCTCAGCTCCACTTGTTAAACTGTTTCTATTAGTATATAAGCAAAAGGCCATCACCCTCGCCATGCTTCTCTTAGCCACAGTGTGTTCTTGGAGCTACAGCCTAGACAGTTCCTGGTGGAAATGTGTTCAGTAAATAGCTTGTGGGAAAGATGGAACTGCTTGCACTCATATGGCTTTCCAATTCCTTGGATTTCACAACAGTTACTTTCTGCTTTCTGGAGTAAATAAAAGTAATGCTCTAGATACTGGTCCCAACTCACCAGCTCTTCCCTACATAGAAATTTTATGAATTAGAGGGCCTTCAGGCCATAGCATTTTAGAATTAAACCATCCAAGCCAAGCCTGAAAGAATATCAGACAACTGGCCTTGTAATAGATTTGTTACAGTTCAGCACAGAACCATCATGAACCTGTGGAGTAAGCCATACTTTTGTGTATTGGGTATGAGCATGTCTGTCATTCCAGTACATGCCACTTTTCTGCTAATCTATTTTTCTTCTTGACAGGTTGCTTGCACACATTTAGATGTGGATTTAGTCTGTATAACTGTAACAGAGAAATTACCATTTTACTTCAAAAGACCCCCTATTAATGTGGTAAGTGCTGCTCTTTCTGCTCTAAACTTGAATCTGTAGACACTAGAAAAGAAGCAGAAGAAACCTGTGTTCTTAGGCACCAGCGCCTGGGTACTTGGTAATTGGAGCAGATTCAGAAAAGAGAATTTTAGTTTTCTAAGCTGACTAAAAGAGAAAGTTGACGATAGAATGTGTCTAAGTGGGGAGCTGTAGGGTGGCTCAATGGATAAAGTGTTCACTGTGCAACCATGAGGCTAGGAGTTTGGATTTAAAGCCAGGCAGCCTGGCGACCAGCTTGTAGTCCCAGCATGGGGAAACTGAGACAGGTAGCAATCTGGTAGCTAGACACACTGAATCAGCCTGCTCTGGGTTCAAGTGTGAGGCCTGACATTTTGAGTCTACTCCTGGCCTCCCTTTACACACTCTGTGCATGGTTGCTCACACACACACACACAGACACACACACACACACACACACACGTCTACCCCTGGCCTCCCTCCACACATTGTGTACATGCTCCCTCTCACTCTCCCCTTCTCCCTCCCCTCCCCCCCCCCACTCACACACACACACACACACACACACACACACACATGCTTGTGTGGGCACTCATGAAAAGAGTATCTAAACTGATTGTGTTATACAGGCTACTCACTAGGCACTTGACCCAGAAGTTCAAGACCAACAGTAACCACTGAGAACCCCCCTCTCCCCATAACAATAAATAAAAAAGGCTTTGGTTAACTGTCATGGTGTTGTTTTGAAAGACTTAGGAATTAAAATTTTGAAGACTATTTCTCATAATATGTTAGTCCCTCTAAGAACCACCACAACAGGTAGCCTGTGCTTGGAACCCTTTTCTTTTCCCTCTGGGTACAGCCTTTTTCTCATAACCCTACCATATAAATTTCTCTTTTTTCTATACCTTTCATCTTCCATCTGCCATATTGCCTTATAAGGCTCCCCCATTTCCATTATAGACAGGTAGTATTATTTCACACCAGTAACTGATGTGGCAGTTATGAGGTCACTGCAGCTGGTAACTATTTGCTTTCCTAGCTAGAACGTAGAAATATTGTTTAGCATGGTGACTTCCAGAGCTCAGTTATGTTATCAAAACCTATTATCCATGGAAAGGTTTAGCAAGCATTCTAAATCCCATTCTGAATTATGTCAGAATTCAAATATTGTTTTCAAAGTGGACAATCACCTTATTCTATAGCCTTTGTAGAATTATTTTTTCCTTGCTTTTGTCTCCCTTTTCTCTTAAAGAATTTCTGCTTGATCTGGGTGTTAGAGGCAACAGTTAGGGGCAACACTTGTTTGGTGTGGAAGATATAAGGTGTCTTATATTCTAACCCTAGACAAATATTACTGAGATGGTTTTTGAAAAGTGCCAAATGTGTAGGGAGAGCTACGGAAGAGCTAACTCTACTGCACTGTGTATGCTGCAGACCCTGAACTCTCACTGTGATGGTGGGAGCACTTCTAAATAAAGACCCTAGGCAAGCCTCACCCTCTACACAGCAGCTCATTTATCAAAAATAAGGAATGGAGGCTGTCAAGTCATCTGGCTTCAGTCACAGGCTTCAGACAGGTCTGGTTGTACCTGTCAGATAGGACCTGTGTGGTCCACACTTGGAAACATCTCCCAAGCGCTGGTGGTGATTGGTTGACATCTGGTGCCTTGCAGCCATAGTAATGCCATTCTCTGTCATCACGGTGTTTTCTATGAGTCTACGATCATTTGATAATGAGATTAAGAGCCTACTGCTTTCAGTAAGACCTCCTCATCTTGATTACACCTGCACTGACTCTCCAAAAAAGGTTGCAGCCTGAGATCTGAGATTCTGCAGGTCAGGAATGTAACATTTTTTATGGGTGGGGGTATAGTTCAGCTCACAATACCCAGCTGTCCTACTCTAGTATTTAACTTGCTGATAATTTGAAGCAGCCCACATCTATTAGTAAAGGGTTACTAGACATTGTACCTCTACAATAAATGCTAGGCAGCTGTAAAAGAAAATGAGATTTATAACCTGACATGGGAAAACTTTCAAATCAGGCAAGATTAGAACTTAACAAGCCACCTTTTAGGTAAGAAAGAGGAAACTGATGTGTATTCGTGGTTGCTTATATTTGTATGAAGAAGCTGGAGGAGCACACACGAAATAAATGAAGCAATCACAGTAGTGGGAGTAGGGCAGTGGGAGGAGATGCAGGGAGGACTTGCTGTTACGTCTGTGACTGATCAGTGAGTCAGAAGATGGTGAGAGCTTAACAAATGACACGCTGGAAGGCTGTCTACCCCAAGTTCATCGTAGGCACTGATTCTTAAGGCAAGCAATCAGCGTGCTGCCCTGGAATCAACTCTTGGTTCCCATTCTTCTCCAAAGCTTAGCTTAAGCTTTTAGTACTTAGAATTTTATTATCAATGTCTCCTGATCCAAGTGTCAAATGCTGCCCTTGGTGACATCACTGTGACTATAAAATTTCTCCTTAGTAAGAAAAGAATCTCATCATCTGTCTATTCAGGCAATTCCGTTCAGACATGAGAACAAAAGCCAATCAGGCAGACACTGTCATTCTCTGTAAAGGCATTATTATGGACAATCAGACAATGAGCTTACAACAATTTATATAAAGTGCTCTTAGGAGCAGAAGACCAGGTAATGGCTGTATTTTATTCATCTAAAACAGCAAAGTTACATGAAAGGAATACTCACAGCCTTCAATAGCACATTATCTTTAATTTCTTTCTGAAGAATGTTCTTAGCAATTTTAAAGTGAACCTGATTAATGTACCAAGGCTAGAATCATGTGTGAAAGAAATTAAGTTGGCAATTCTATCCTATTTCCCCCTACCCTTTCCCTCAAAGGGGATTTTATTTTGTTGTGATTCCCAGACAGGTTTAAAAATTTAAATTGATCAACTAGAAACACTTAGGGATCTGATCACCCAACACCACATTGTTCACACCTTATTCCCGTCTTCATCCTACTGCCCAGGTTTACTTCTGCAACTAGAAAGGTGGGGAGATATGAGTCAGGCTCCTTTGTCTAATAGCTTTAGTTTAAGAAATAGCTGAGGAGATGACTTGAAATGGCCAAAAGGATGTTTTTATTTATCTGTGGATTTCCTTCACCAAGTCCATCCCAACATTGTCACATGGCCCCTTCTCTACAAGCTACGGTTCATTCAGTTAGAATGTACTTGCTACTGTTGTTGCTGCTGGTAATGATGATTTGAGTCATGAAGATTTGTACCAGTTGTAAGAACTATAAAGGCTAGGCAGGGAAATTGGGTATTTGTTTAATTACGGCACCAACGTTGTGGCAGCAAATCCATTCCTAGAAGGAATACAAGCCAGAGAATTGGAGATGGGAAAAGTGGTGTGTGACTTCCAGCTAAACCTAGAGATGTAGGAAAATCTATACACTGCCTTAAGATCAGAGGACAAAAGAAAGAAAGGAGGTGGAGGTGGGCCATGGAAAAAGAACTCTGTTCAAGAAAGAATAGAAGGAGCCTATAGATGACTGCAGGTCTGTGAGGCCAGTTCCTTCACTCCCTGCGACCCTAAGTAGTGAGGTCCACAGAGCCTCACCTTGGAGACCGAGACCATCCTTCCTGAGTGAGCCAGCTGTCCTCCCTTTACTTCAGAGGGCCACCATAATCTACATGAGTTGGCAAGTTTCTGTCTTGATCCTTGCCTCCTTGCCAAAACCCCCTCATATGTTACCCCTTACTGTCAAGACTGACTAAGACTTGTCACCAGCAATTAAGATCTACAAACTGGCCCTTCCCACTCCTCGTAGCCTTAGTTCCCGCCACAGGACTCCTGCACATCCTTCTCCAGCCTCTCTCTGGCCTTCTCTCCATGCTGCAGGCCCAGGGCCTGTTTGTGTTCTTCCCTCTGCAAGAGCTCTCCCATCCACCGTGCAGTTGCCCCATTTCTCTTCATCAAGAGCCTCCTTGCTCACATGTACTGGAGCTCTGGGAAGGAATGAGTGGTTTAAAGCACATCTGTTATGAATGGACAGTCTGCTGTAATTTAAGAAAAGTGGTGCATGAGAGAAAGACGCCATGTGACAGGGTTCAAGTGGAGAGGTTTTTTTTTGGGGGGGGAAGGGGGAGGAGACTGGTCTTCAAGGACAGGAGCAGCAGGAGAGAGGAAAGAGGGGGAGGTGGGGAGAGAAAGAAAGAGGATAGGAGGTAAGCAGGGCCCTTTTAAAAGGGAATGTGGTGAATGTGCACAGGTGGTGCCCTTAGTGGCTGCAGCTGAGGTTGTATCCTGTCAGAACTTCAAGGACAGGCCGGTACAGATGCCTGAGTACTAACACAGACATTGCGTTCTTTAACCTGGGAAGTTGAATTATGTACTGGTGAATTTCAGTCCCACTCCCATGCCTTGCAGACTTCCCAATCTTGAGAGTGCACTGAATGAGAAAGAACTTTCTACCTCATGGAAAGACCAAGCCCATATGGCAAGCTGGGCGAAACCCTGAAGGACCAGACCTCATTAGCCTTTTTTCCTGAGCCACAATGAACTTTAAACAATGTTACTTAGACAGAATGGGTGTGTGCAAGTCCCAGCCATAGTTCTCTTCCAGTACCTCAACCTCAGTTGTTAGCACAGTCCCTCAGACATAGAGTTAGCATGGCATTGTTCTGTGTGTTTACTACACACAACAGTGTGTAGTAAATGACTTAGCTGTAAGGTTTCCCATTCCTGTTCCTCAGCCCCTTCAGATCGTCTCCTCAGTGTCCTTCATTCTTGGGTCAAGTTTCTTGGCTCCCTGTTGGCTCAGTTTCCCTGCATGTGGGAAGCACATCCTCCTTGGACCACTCATGGAGTAGTAGCCCTCTGCACCGCACTGACTTTGCTGTCCTCGGCCTCTGTTATTCCTGCTTCTATAGTTAGCTCCCACACCTAACAGAAGCTCTGTCAATCATGTAGAGCCTCTGTCTGTCTTCCTTACTTTAGCTAGGGGTGCAGAGGTATGGGTCCACCACCTCTTTAAGCCAGTCCCTGGCTAGGTAGGGGATAGTGCATAATGGGGAAGAAGGTAGGTGGGAGACTTAATGTGCTTGTCTTTGACAGTTTACAGTTTTTCTTCTTTATTTCTGGTGAAGGCAATTGGCCGAGGTCTGGGCTTTGAACTTGTCTATGGCCCTGCTATCAGAGACGCCACAATGAGAAGGTACACAATTTCCAATGCCCTCAATTTGATGCAGATCTGCAGAGGAAAGGTATAGTTCCCAAGACAAGGACTTTTTACCTCTGGCGGTCACTAGTGATGTGCTGATGCTGTCAACTCAGTTCCTTAGCCTTAAGCAGGGAATTCTCTTTATGACACTTAAGTTCCTCCATTTCAATGAGTGCTACAGGGTTTTGTAAATCTCCCAAGGGAGGAGAAAGATATGGAGGGGAGAGATGGCTGAAAGCCTTTATTTTTGATAAGGAATTTGCAGTTTGCCACAGTGCAGACTTCTCTAAATAACAGGTATTTGTCTCTGAGTGAATTAAAAGTTACAGCTTTTAAACTTGATTTATCTACACTAAGATTTCTTTATGAGGCTTACTCCGCCTTTTGTATTGGCTGCCTTGAGTGTGACATGAAGAGTTTCAGTATTTCCACATTCATTATTTACCTTATCTTTAAAAGAAGTTGGTATTTGAGCCTTAAATGTTAAAGGGGGTTGCTGGTCATTCTTATTATACAATTCTCCAATTATTTTTATCAGTTATCTAAGAACAATATTGCTCACTTTGTTTTATAGAATGTGATTCTCTCCAGTGCTGCAGAGAGGGTAAGTATGAAGTGTAGTGCTTTGTATTTGTAGTTATAAAACTTTACTACGCTTTTAGAACACCTGAAATAACAGTGTAAGATACCTCCTATTGGTGCTTTAACTGCATCTGCCCATCGTAATTGATAAAATGTATCCTGTTTGTTTGGGCATCAGGTTTGCCTATATATATTTACAGCTGTGGGTTAATTAGAATAAAGTGGTTTTTATTTTTTCCCTTTACCTTGTTAAAAATGCTTTGCATGATTTATTTATATTTTAAGAAACCTATCACAATTATAAGAACCTTAATTCATGAAATTTTGGATAGTTAGTTAAATCTGATTTATTGTAAATAATTAAAATGTTAATAAATAACATCTCATTTTATTTTCCTTTTTTTTTTTTTTTTTAATGTTTTTTATTTTAGCCTTTGGAAATCCGAGGACCGTATGATGTGGCAAACTTGTATCCTCTCAATGTTCTATTTAAAAGCTTATGTTCATATTAGGTGGAGGAATGTATGTGTCAATCAGAAAATAATTTTCAGGAGTCAGTTCCCTCCTGCTGTTTTTTGGGTCCTGAGTATCAAACTCAGGCCATCAGAGTTGGCAGCAGGCAGGCATCTTTACCTGCTTAGCCATCACACTGGACTGGGATTTTCCCTTAGAAAACTGAATCAAAAGCGGTATTAGCATTTATTTAGCCTGATGTTTTCTTATCCTTTACTTGTAAATTTATTGCTCAGTAGCTTCAGAAGCAGATTACAGCAGTCTGTAAACTTCTTCATCCTTCTGGTTTTGGATTAAGTGTCAGGGAAGAGAAACAAGAGGCTCTACACGATAAAGACAGTTAAATGAGACAGATACAGGTTTCCGTTGGGCAATTAGTGTGTCTGCCACTGAGCAGGTGAGCTGTCATTGTCGTTTGTGTTTGTGTTGTCTCATATCGTTGGCTGACTCTAGGTTGAAATCTTTAATAACCCTATAAGGGGGCTACTGTTTGGGCTGTCTGAAAATGAAGCCAAGGCTGCCGTGTCCACAAATTGCCGGGCTGCATTTCTCCATGGAGGTGAGCATGTTCTTATAGTAAAATCTGAATCACCGTCAGGTTACCCTCAGGTTCTGACAACAGTTGATGAGTATCTGCTTTAATATCCTCCCCTCAGAGTTCCTACAAGACTCTCTTGTCTCAACCAGTTCTAACCATACACTCTGCCCCTTGTCCTCACTTCAGGCTTTACTTTATATAGTGTGCATTGTATATAGTTTGCATGACAGCAATGGCCATTGAATGTGTTCTTTCAAACAACACAGTGTCCCTTTTCTATGTTTTCAGAGGCCTGCAACATCCATCCTGCTTGCTTCTCTCTGGATGGGCTTGCTCCCTGCTGAAAATCATGAGTTTCAGAAACATTCGTGGGGATAGCAGTGTTAGTTTGACAGGATCTAAAAGCACCTAGCTTCAGACTCCCTGGAGGGGTTATCTAGGTTATGGTTAACCCTAAGAATGTAAGGTTGGGTTAATGGGTGTGAGAACACTCACTGTGAGTAGCACCACCCCCTCGGTGGGGATCCTGGGCTGCACGAAATGGGGGACACAAGCTGAGCACCAGGTTTATAACTTCTCCCTGATTGTAAGTGATGTGGCCAGCTACTTAACGGCTCCTGTCTCCCTGAGCTCCCACTATGATGGACTCACTTTTAAACTATGAATTGTAATAAACCCATTACTCTGTAAGTTGCTGTTATCGGGGTATTTTATAACAGGAACAGAAAAGTAACAAAAACAATATGTTAAACCACTAAGAAAAACAAACATTATTTTTTAATCAATCTAAAATCAGTCTACAGCTTATGCTTTTATTATAACTCAGAATGTTTCATTTCTTGTTTTGGTTTACATGGTCAAGTATCTACTAATCATATTTTGGGTATTTTTTTCCCAAGGTAGTGTTTTTGGATGCTTTTGTTTTTTATTTGTTTTTTGCTTATTTGAATATATTATACTAAATTACATAAGGCCATTTTTGTAACTATAATAGATGTACTTTGAACATATTCCCCTCCATACCTCTCTACCCTCCTTTTTCTCACTCCCATTAGTTGCTTTTATGCAAATTCTTCACCACTAACCACACACACACACACACACACACACACACACACACACACACTATTAGTCCCTTTGCTCGCATTCCCACCATTAGTCCTCTTTGTGCATAGTCCCTCTGCTACCTCCCATCGTCCTCTTTGCTCATATTCTCCTCACTTACCCCCACTTACCCTCGGTACGTACCCCCCCCCATGGCTCTCCTATTCATCCCCCATGTTCCTTAGACAGTGTCCTTAGATTTCTGCGCTTGTACTTCCATGTGGTCTGCTCATTATGATTTATGAATCCATGTAAAATGGAAGGCCCACGAGTGAGACACAGCCCATGTTTCCTTGCTGTGAGCTTTCTAGTAGCGCCACTTTCCATGGCGCTTCATTAGTTCATCCAGGCAGTTGATTCTCCTGTGTGCCTTCATTCCTAAGTGTCTGTTTTTAGTGTACTTATCCCAGGAGTTTGAACACTTACAAACCACCGTTAAGGATCTTTATATCCTGGATACAGTGCCTGCCCTGTTAACATGTTTTTAAGACAGATTGACTCAATTTAAGTTCAGCTCTGCTCCCAAACTGACCTGGGCATGCAATGTGGCGCCACTCTAAACAGTGTAAAGGATTATAAATCTGAGTTTGATTTGATGGGCTCTCTCAGCAATCACTTGTTAGATGGATGTTGTATACCGGGTCATTGATGTTCAGTCAGGACAGCACAGTGTCAGAGATGCATGATAATCTACTGAGAACAATGGCATGTGCTGTAACATGAGGTCAGCACAGCCACTGCTGTGGGAGCAGCACCCGTGCCTGTGATTTGTCCGTCTTTCTACCGCACATAAAGCAGTTGCTAGACCGGTGCCTATGGCTGGTTCTGCCTGCGTAAGATGCCGTGGAGAGAGCAATGGAGAAGCCCTGCTCTGCAGTTTAACCTAAGAGGTAATCCTTAGGAATGGACTGGAAGCCAAAATACTGCTCTTTGTGCATGTTGGGAAAAGTAATGATCATAAATGGCATCAGCACTTGTAAGAGCTCTCGATGGTTTTCTTATTTTCGTGCTGTGGGCCAAAGAAATGGGGTGATGCAGGTTGAACCACTTCTCCTTAAATTGCATCTTACACCAGATATGGGGATGTGTGCCTTTAATCCCAGCTCGCAGGAGGCTAAGGCAGGAGGGTCAGAGTTGGTTGGACTGTGGAAGGAGGTCAGGGCCAGCCTGGGCTTCATAGTGAGATCATATCTCTTCACTCAATGTCATTTCTGTTTTACAGAAACTAGAAAAACTGCTTTTGGGATCATTTCTACAGTGAAGAAACCTCGGCCATCAGAAGTAGATGATGACTGTCTACCAGCTTGCAAGAAAGCTAAATGTGAGGGCTGAGATGGCCTCGGTCTCCATCAGCCACCTCCTCCCTTTACAGCTCATCAGTCACAGTGGGAGTAAACTTCTGCTGAGTTGATATTTTCATTAAAGCCAGAAACCAGCAGTCTGTAAAAACAACTTTATCTTCAGACCATTAAAACAGCAAATAAAACCCAGTGAGGTGTTATCTGAAGACAGTTTAATTCATTTAGAAATACTTGAAGACAAAAACTATTTTATTCTTTATGTGAATAATGAATAACAGTAGGTACACCAAAGTAAGATGCTTCAGTATTTTAAGACATTAAAGATAGTTTCTTCTACTTGATACATAGGAGTTTTTATATTTTACTATCCAAAAATTAGTTATTTTTAAGACTTAAACCCTATTATGGGAATGCTTTTATTTATTGAGTTAAAGATGTTCCTAAAGGAGTGCTGACCTTGTAGAAACAGAAAGGACACTCACATGAAATTACTTGTCCTATTCATTTGCTACCTTCTGCCTTCGAGCTGTGGTTAAAATGTATTCCTCCTGTTAGTTAGAAACTCAATACCTAATAGTGATTTTCCTAATTGCGGTATGGTTCAAAGCACTTCACACACACACATACACAAAGCCCTTTGGAAATAATTTATTTTAAATAACAAATTTACCAGACTGAGTAGAAGTTGTTATTTTTGTAAATGTCTGCGTTTATGCCCTATTGCTGTAAGGACCCCCAAGACAGGGCAGTTAACTGGAAGAAAACAGGAGGAAGAGTGCTGTTCTGAAGACGAGGCTGAGAGTGCTTAGAAAAGAACTTGATGCCAGGCCCTCGGACATAGGTGCTGAGACCAAACTTAGCAGATCCGTAAGATTGTGGCGCTCTAGTGCAAGCAGATCCGTAAGATTGTGGCGCTCTTATGTCCAGGAGTGTAAACATATCTCAGTTTTAAAAATCAGGATGTATCGATTCTTTTTAATGTATAATGAGAGGAAAAACAATGTTACAGTAGCAATATCTGCTCTTGGTTTTATATGTAACAAATGAAAACCTAAGGCAAGGAATTTGATGGAGACAAGTTTAGGGCTGAGTCTTCCAAGGTCTCTCTCTCTCTGCATAATGTCTAGCTGTGGGTCTCTATTCCCGTTTTTTGCAGGAGGAAGCTCCCCTGATGGTGGTAGAGCAGGATAATGATTCTAATGTAGTAGAGCATCATTAGGAGTCATTTTATTACCTTTTTTTTTTTTTTTTTTAACAGTAGTATTTGGACCTTAGGTCCCTGAGATATCTGTTCTCAGATTTTTGGTCACCCAAGCAATAGGCTCCATTTCATGGCATGGGTTTTCAGTCAAATCAGATATTGGTTTTGCCACAGGCTCTGTGTCTCCATTACCATAGCCTATCTTGCACACAGGACACCACTGTAGAACAAAGGATTTGTGGCTGGTTTCTCCTTTGATAGCATGCAGAATAGAAAATCTTCCTATGTCAAAGACACTTTTCATGTAGGGGAGAAGGCTCTGTGTAGGCACCAGCTTGGCTTCTCCATGTTCAGTGGGTTGTATGGGTGTTGTCTTCAGCATTGAGGCCTTGCTGTCGCTATGTGGAGAACAACTTAGAGTCTTGGCAACAGCTTGGGTTATTTGAGTATTCCCATGGGACCCCTTTGACCAAGAGCTTGAGTAGGTGTAACTCAATCCTGGTGTTGGAAGTTTCATTTGGTGGCAAGAGGTGGCCAGTTGGGACTCTGTTTCTCATTCTTTGGTGATTTCATTCAGATCACCTCCGTATGTGTATATCAGGAAGCTTCTACTGCATTGGCTTTCCATACTGCCCCTCAAATGGCCCTTAATTTTATCTTTCTCACCCTATACCTGCTCTCTTGTCCCCTTCTTCCCATCTCCACTTCATCCTCCCATTCCAGTCCCTACTCCATCGCATCCGTAACTATAATTATTCTATTCCCCTTTTCTAGGGAGATTTATCTGTATCAACCCCAAGTCCCTGATTCTGTGGTTCTACATATTATAGTCTGCATATTATAGCCTGATTATTATTTATTTAATAGCTGATATCCAAAATAGGCAAATGCATATCATATTTGTCTTTCTGGATCTGGGTTACCTTAGGATGTTTTTTTTTTTTTTCCCTAATTCTACCCAATTAACCTGCAAATTTCTGATTTCATTTCTTTTAAACAGCTGAATAATATTCCCTAGTGTTCTCTACCATGTTCTCTACCCATTCTTCTATCAAGGAACATCTAGATTGTTTCCTTTTTTTTTTTTTTTTTTTTGGCTATTAGACCAGCAATAAACATTGTTAAGCAAGTGTCTCTATGGTATAATGAAACATCCTTTGGTAATAAGCCCAAAAGTGGTATAGCTGGATTGATTTTGAGGGAACTCAATTCCCATCTTCCTGAGGAACTGCCACACTGATTTACATAGTGGCTCTACAAGTTTGCATTCCCACCAGAAATGGAGGAGGGTTCCTCTTACTCCACATTTTTCTCTCTAGTGTGATCTGCCAGTTCTTTTGTTGATCTTAGCCATTTCTGATGGGTGTAAGATGAAATCTCAAAGTAGATTTGATTTGCATTTTTCTGATGACTAAGGATGTTAAGCAGTTCTTTTAAGCATTTTTCAGCCATTTGAGTTTCTTCTTTTGAGAATTCACTGTTCAGATAGTGGTGAAACACACCAGTAGGATTTGCTAAAGGAGGTGGAGGCAGGACTTAAAGGCCAGCCTGTGCTATAACTTTTTTATTAATATAGTAAAATGACCATCCTACCAAAAGCAATCAATGGATTAAAAACAATCTCCATCAAAATTCCAACATAATTCTTCACAGATCTTGAAAGGATAGTTTTCAGCTTCATATGGAAATGTACTTTCACATACACGTGTGCTAGCTAAAACAAAAATAATAATAAACTACTGAAGTTACCATCTGTGACCTAATTGTACCACAGAACTGTATGTTGGAGGGCCTTGCTGGCTGGTCAGAGGTTGGGGTCTATCATGACCTGGCAGCTTTTTCCAAAAGCTCAATGACATGGAGACTCCCTCCCACCCCAGTGAAACTTCTTTGTTCTACCTGCCCTTATCTGGAGAATGTCCCAGGACCTGGAGGATTGACATTATGTGAAAGATGTCTCAAAGCCAGATGTCTGATATATTTTTAGCTTGACCCTTGGCACAGATTCCTGTTAGGAGCCTTTCCTGCTGCACATATGGTAACTAAGACTTGGCTAGGAGCTCTGCTATGAGACCCTACTGCCACAATGATAGGACCAGGCCTCTTAATGCAAATTAGGACTTGTCCCCCAGGCTCCATAATCGTATATACTCTGGAAGCTGTCTGGAAACACAGGTCTGTGATGATCCCAGCTACTTAGGAGACCAAGGGGAGAGGGTCACAAATTCAAGGATAGCCTAGATTACAGTTCAAGGCCATCCTGAACAACTTAGGGAGATCTTGACTCAAAAAAAGCAGCAAAAGAAAACAAACAGTGGGATGGGGTGGGCTGGGTGGGGCTGTACAGCTCGGGCTTGGGGCACTTGCCTGTGTGCATGAGGGCCCTGGGTTTAAACCCCAGTACTGAAAATAATAAAGACTAGCAGCAGCCAAATTTTAAAGAGTTTACCTTTGATCCCAAGAAAAATGGGACACCACTGAAAGGTTTAAAAGAGGAGACTAATTGGATCAGATCTACATTTTAGGAAATTTCTGGCTGCAACTAAAACAAGAGAGTAGGGCGTGGGACTGGAGATGGTCTCAGCTTCACTTCAGGAGACCTGGGTTCAGTCTTCAGCACCTGCTCTGGGTGGCTCAAACATCTTGTAACTCCAGTTCCAGGGGATCCCATGGCCACGTCTGTCTTCTGTGGACTCCTGCATACACATGGCCCATAGCTACACACACACACACACACACATCAATAAGTAACTAAATCTTTTTAAAGAGTGGTAAGCAAATCTGGGGGGCAGATCTGATTGAATAACCCTGATCTTGAAGGCCTTGCCTAGATTGGAGGCCACCGATTACAAGGCAGACTCTCATAAGATGTCAGCATGTTTGATAAGACTAGGTCACTGATCAAAAGGGCTGAGTGAAAATGAAGTCAGGAACAACCTCCAGAACTCCCCTTCGGCTGATGCACTGTGCCCTTCAGGGAGAAAGGGAACAAGACAAAAAGACCATGAGCAGAGCTTGTCCTGGGGTAGACAAGCTTCTAATGACTGTCATAGAAATGGAATTTCCCCAAAGATGAACCAGAGCTGGTCCCCATCCCCATGCTTTACTTCTATGCTGTCTTGTGCCTGGTGTTTCTTTATTAATAAAAATATTTAAATGTAACAATGCAAACCTTACCCTGAACTCTTTTTCTCTTTTTAACATCCCCCAGCTCTTGGGGTCAAAGAAGCCCAGAAAAGACACTTTGGCACAAACTAACATATCTAAGAAATACCTGTCAAATATCAATGTGAGCAAGAGAAACATGATCTAGATCCCATAGCTTAGATCACTGGTTTTTAACCTATAGGCTGAGACCGCTCCGGATCCTTCCATGGGGGTCACTGAAGATCATCAGAATACATGGATGTTTACATCATGATTCATGGCAGCAGCAGCAATGAAAATAATTTTATGGTTAGGGTCATCACAACATGAGGAACTGTGTTAAAAGGTTGCAGCATTGGGAAGGTTGAGAACCACTGCCTTAGAGTTCTGACCAGGTGACCCAGCTATGGGGAAGGTGAGGGTAACAAATGATTAGGAGAGAACTGAGAATCTGCCACTCAGTTCTCCATGTGAGAGGGGGAGCTCTGTGAGCTGGTATGAAGACAGATAGAAGGAGCCAATAGCATTTCAGATCATCCTTGCAACTCCATGTGCATCCATGGCTGAATGATTGGAAGATGTCTTGGTTACAGACTGTGCCTGTACTCTCCCACAAAATAGTAGAGGCACGTGTAAGAGGTTGATATATGCAGTCCTACTTGGTGTGAGTTCCAGGGGAACACAGTGCTAGGGTTTGGCATGAGTCTTTCTCAGGCAGGCATCATATGTCCCATGTTCCAAACATTCATTGCCCACACCCTTGAGCTTATCATCTCCTGTTGCCTAGGCTTGAATTCATTGTTGAAAATTGCCTTCAAGCTTGACACCCCCAAGAAGTCCTAAAACCCCCATCTCCACCACATATGGATCTCCATATTTTAGACACTGAGAGAGCACTCCAGAGCCTCCCTTCATTGGATCTAAAATGCACTGATACTACCTATTTATTTCTACTTGTTTCTTCAATGTCTGTCCCTGTAGGGCCCAGATGATCGGGTTTTTCTCACTGGAGGTCTTCAGCGCCCCACTCAGCATTTGGCAACAAAACTTTTCCCTTTGGAGGTCAAAAGTCATTGACCCAGAATGTTCTCTCATGGAAGGCCTCCGACCCTGTCAGCGCCTGTCCACAATACAATGATGGATAAGCTCCTAATTAGTGAGTCAAGCCCTCAAGATTTGTTTGTTTAACCTGCAGTAACCATTCTTCCCACCAGGGGTCTCTTTTCCCACACCATTGGAACGAAATAATGGCTTCGCACCCGCCCCCCCACCATCTTAGCTCTGATAGGACAGGAGCTGGTAAGAAATGCAGATTCACAGGGCCCACCTGACACCAGCTGAGTGTAATTCTTCAGTTTATCAAGATACTTGGGTGACTGATCATCACATTAAGTACTAAGACTGGTTTCTACAGGACATTTTTTGTTTTCCTTCCCCTCCTCCTCCTTCATTTCTTACTATTTTTAAATTTGTTTTATTTTCATGTATGTGTTAGGCTATATGCATGTATGAGCACCATGTGCATGTCTGGTGCCTGAGGAAGTCTGAAGAGAGCATCGGACCCCCTGGGACTGGCTGTATGGAGAGCTGTGAGCCACCATGTAGTGCTGGGAACTGAACTCAGGTCCTAGGCAAAAACAGCAAGGGCTATTAAACCCTGCCTGAGCCATCTTCCCAAATCCTTAGACATTCCTAACCTGAAAAAGCTGGGAAACACTGACAAATAAACATCTTCCTAAATGACTCTTCTTCCATGAGAAGGTCCCACCATTGCACCGACAAAGAACTTAGAACATAGTTTAGAATTTGTTTGCATTTATTATGAATATAAAATATACATACAACACAATATATATTTACACATTTACAGTGTCCTTCCTTCTGCCTTTTATTTCATGGAACTCAGTTTATCCTGGCCCTACTGCCCACGCCCTCCTCCACCTCCCCACACTCTCTTCACCTCGGGACCTCGTGTGGCTTGGTAAACAACCAATCAAACCAAACCTATGGGTGAACAGCCGGCTTCGGTGTCTGTCCTGCAGAATTGCTTCCATTCTTTTCCTCATCAACACATGCCTTCCGCTGCTTCATTCAGATACCAGCCGTAAGAATTCAGAAGAAAGCTGCAATTCTTACCCTCAACAGTAAAAGCTACCTTGAATAGCTTCCATGAGACCCAGGGCAAAAGTATGCAACTAGACACCATGCACCCACAGGTTTAAGATCTATGGGAAGACGCTGAATGCTGCATACAGATTAAGTTTTACTTCTCCCCCCACCCCCCTCCTGCAAAAAAAAAAAAATGCTTGTGAAAGCCTGAATACCAGTGTTAGGAAATAAATAAATAAATAGGAATAAATATAAATACAATATTGAGCAACACTGAAGGAGATTTTGACACCTATAGCCCAGTGCTTTCTTGCAGCATCTTTAAGGTATCTCCCTACCCTCCGGTGGACAAAAGCTGGATTTCATAGTTGCTTGCTCTTGCGGTAGGCAGTGCTTCGGAAGTGCCTGTCAACGGCTCCTGTAGACAGTCCCCTTTCCTAGAATGTAGCTATGCGAGAGCTTTTGTAGCCATTCTCTTTGAGGCTGTTGAATATTGCTTTGGTTCCATTCTGCCAGTGCAGGACCAGGTCCATGGGGGTCTTCCCAGCCTACACAGAAGAAAGGGAAATTCGAGTTCCAGGTGGGAGGCGCCTGTCAGTTCACACTCTGTATCTACCTTAGGTATATTATCAAAGTGTATGCTTTTGCTATGAGTGATCTACTATCTGTTCAAACTATCCTGTCACTGATTTTCATGTTGGGTTGTTTTTGTTTTTTCTTTTTTCTTTTCTTTTTTTTTTTTGGGGGGGGGGGGGCTTCTCCTTCCACCATTCACAGAACTATCCCAGGTATTCAAGGAGGGGAAAGCAAAAACAAAAAACAAAACAAAATAAATAAATAAAACCCTGGTCCTTAGGCACTAAAGAGTCTCAAATTATTGTGAAATTAAAACATGTATATAGGTATTTCTAGAACCTTGCCGAAGGACTCAGAGGAGGCATTATTTAATGCCTCTTATGTGGTAAGTATACTGCCACCAGGCCATAGGTAGCCAGGCAGTTGCTGTCTGGCTGCTGACTGCTCTGTGGGTTCCTCACAACTTCTCAGAATTTTCACCAAAAACTTTAGTTTCTTTGAAATTGATGTCAGTGACATGTAAATAAATAATGTTTTCATTCCCAAATTTGATCTCCCTTATGCACATGTCTCAAGATGCTTACACATCTCTTTAGATAGGAGAAGTCCTGTTACTATCTGTATTCAGCTCAGTAGTACTCCTGATCCCAGAGGTTGTAGACTGGCAGCTTTGATATGTTAATCAGTCAGAGACCTGGTTTTTCCCAGGTTGGAGGGGGAAGGAAGAATCAAGAGATTTTCTATATGGATTTATGACTTTTACAAAAAAAAAAAAAAAAATCAGGAAAGACTCCTAATTCCACAGTGTTTCGAGGAACTGGATTGGAGAAGAGCCACCATCTGCACAGACACAGCATAGATCCTAGTAGCCACTCACTGGTGTCATTTATGTGACCTACCTGGTGACTATATGCATCCCATTCATTTCTGCTTGTAGTCTTTCATGGCTTGTAAAAATAAGTAAATAAACCTTTATCTTCTGCATCTTTGAAGATAGACTTGATTGTACTTTCAGCTCATTTTTAAAGAGAGAAAATTTTGGGTGACACCAATCCCAGTACCTAGCACAGGGGACCCTACTGCTAACTTGTTTCAAGCCAAGAAGGCTCCAGCTAACCACTAATCACCATTGTTTCTTCTTGTCATATTCCCACTCCATGTAGCCCAAGCTAGTCTTGAGCCTAAAAGCTTCTTCCAAGTGCTGGAATGTGGGGCACACTCAGCTCCCTTTTTAATTATCCTTCAGCCTCTTAGTAACACAAGAGGAGGATGTGGTCGTCTGCCTCAAGAAGACCTTTCCTCTTTTGTAATGATTCTCCAAAATCCCCAAGAGCATTTCTTTGGTGATTTCTCCCTATTCCTCCTACAGACCTTCTTTAAGTTAGGGTAGATGATGCTTGTCTGGAGATTGTAGTCACAAGAGTAAGCTGCTTACATTCCCCATGTACAAATATACTTGTGTACATATGTACTTATGTAGGAATTCTTGGGACCTAACGTAGGAAATTATTTCAAGACACATGCATGTAAAGTGACGACTGAATGGTAGTTTCTTTCAAAAAGAATCAGAAAAGCATGGTGACCCTGAAAAACTGGCAACATTTTACAATGTTGTAAGAAAAAAAGGACTATTTGGAATTCCCCAGATTGGATATTGATTAGTTTCAGTCTCTGTAATTTGGAGCTATTTCCAGAAAGGTGGGTGTATCCATTCTTTCCTACTCCAGGCTCTACTCAGCCAGGAATGACCAGGGCAAGTTGGAATCATTCAATGTGGTTCTTATTTTTATCTTTTAAAGATTTGTTTATTTATGCACTATATATATAATATATATATATATATATATATGTATGTATGTGTGGGTGTGGGTGTGTGTGCTTTGTCTGCTGTATGCACACCTGCAAGCCAGAAGAGGGCATTGGATCCCATTATAGTTGGTTGTGAGCCACCATGTGGTTGCAGGGGATTGAACTCAGGTCCTCTGGAAGAGCAGCTAGTGCTCTTAACCATCGAGCCATCTCTCCAGCCCCACAATGTATATTTTAAAGGTGACACTTTTGGCCATCTTTTCTTCAAGACTAATCTTTCAAAGACCTATTAGGCTCCAAGGTCAGAGCAGAAGTTCTAGTTTCCCTATGTCTGATTCTGTGACCTGAGTCCTTGCCAAGTCTCACCCTGGCCTTATAGAAACAGACACATTTGGACTACCAGGGTACCTCAAAAATTACTAGCATGGGAATAATACTTTCAAATATCTGAGAATTTGAAAGTACCAGTGGTACCTTGGCTTTGACTACTTACACAGTTCTTGACGTTGAGGTCCGCCCCGAAGGTCATTAAGAGCCGAATCATCTTATAGCGATTCAGCCTCACAGCATCGTGCAGTGGGGTATCTCCTTCCTAGAAGCAGGGTAAGCAGATACGCTAAGTGTGAAGCCAGGAAGTGGGTCCTGCTGGGGTACCCCAGCTTGCCTGAATGATTTCAAATAAGCTCATTGTGACTCAGCCTTGTCAGCTACTCACCCTGTCCTTGGCATTGAGATCTGCCTCGCAGGCGATGAGGTGCTCTGCGCATTCGTAGTGACCAGTCCTCACCGCCACATGCAGCGCTGTGCTGAGCAGCTAAAATGTTAGAAAACGGAAAAGGATGAGAACAGACACTGTCTAGGCCTCAAGGCACGTGCAAATGGGATGGTGCGGCTGAGGTGTCCACAGAATAAGGACTGACAGGACCTCCGTGGGCAGGCAGGAAGCAAAGCCTAAGGAAGGGCAGGGAAATACCTTGTCTCGTGCATTAATTTTGGCGCCTTTGTTCAACAACAGTTTCAGGACGTCCAGGTTTCCTCCACGACATGCCCAGTGGATGGCCGTGGATTCAAGCTAATTGGAAAAGAAAAAAAAAAAAAACACAAGACAAGACAGTGTGAAAGAAAATCTTGTTGGGGCTTGGGCTTGTTCTTTAGTTTCAAAGGCTCTGGGACTATGGGCAAGGGATAGTTCTTGGTACTATTGGCCTTGAGAACCACTTCCGAGTTTCTTGCTAAATAGCTCAACTAAACTGTGAGTGAGTGGCTGGGTTTGTAGTTAGGAGGACTTTAATATGTCTGATTACATTCCAGAATATCTCGGTCTGGATCTAACCCTCATCCCATCTCCCTGTCTTTCTCCGGCCATCTCCTGCTGGCTCTGTGCTGCTGTTTATACTAGCACAGCCTAGGCACCTCAGCTGTCAATCAAGTTGAAGAAATTGCCACCTCTCTGCTTTGCTCCGTACATCTCTGGACTTTCAGATTCCAAATTTGGAGATTTGGGCATCTCTTCATCCAAACTTTATTATCATTGGTTCTTAATTTTTTTTTCAATATTTTGACCTTTGATTTAATTCAGGCTAGGCTCTTTGGAATTTTTTTTTCCTTTTCCATTTTACCATAATGTCAAATTGAGCTGCATATACATAAATGAAGCATTTTCCAGTTCAATCTTCAGGGTATAAATTACATTGTATACTGGTCTTTATGGAAATCGCAGCAGCTGATTGTTAGGGTCTGAATAGCAGCCACTTTCCTGAGACCAGATTCATTTAGCATGCAGCCTGACTCCAAATCTCATCGGTGGCAATTGGCATCCATCATATAAAGTATGTAGCTAGGAAATTCTCATGCGTTGCTGGCAGCCGAGGGGCCAGGAGCAGGCTCTGCTGTCTGATGGAAGGAGAGTGGTGTTGAAAGGCCAGGAATGCTACTGACTTGATAATGACCCAAAGTCTCTGGTGAGGTTACTGAATTCTGCCCAACAACTTTCCCTTCCTTCTCCTCTGCAACACTCCCCTCCTTTTCAGATCAATTTGCAATCCAATTGGGCCAGTTTTTCGTTGTGCGTTTTCCTGAGCTTTTTTCGGATAGTCTGCTTATTTTGGCTCATTTCCAAGCAAAGAAATATATTTACCATATCACGGAATTCAATCTGGGCTCCAGCCTCCATTAACTTTTCCACAATTGCCAAGTGTCCTTCTAGGCATGCTCTATGGAGAGCGGTCCGTTTATACTGTCAAAGATTAAAACAAGAGATAGTGGTGCATATAAAAATGCATATAATCCTTTAAGAGCTATAAAGCTGGGACTATGATGACCTAAGTGATAGAAAGGCCAGGATTGTTTTATGAATCAGAATGCCAGAGCTCACTGAAATTGCAGGATTAGAATAATTATCTGGCAGCTAGAACCTGAGCTTCCTGTCCTAGGCTCTTCCTAAGTGCTAAAGGCCAAGGGCGGCGGATGTGGACTTCAAACCTAAAAACCCATCTCGATGCTGAAAGGTCCCTTTTTGTGCACATGCCAAATACAGCAGATGGTTTTCTTCTATCCAGAATGGATATCAAAAACCATTCAATTCCGTTTTTCAAAGAAAGGAAACTTCAGCTTTGGTGAGAGCCGCCGGATCAGTTCTCGAGAGAAGCAATACAAAGTTGTGACTTCTGACAAGTTGGCTTTGTATTAATGAGCCAGTAGACTAATGGAATGAACCAGACTGTGCTTACAGATACATGGCTACTAAGTCAACGCACAGGAGCTGCTCCCAATCAGGTAGTGACTGGGAATTCCACCTTCCCCTTCTAACGCTGGGTCTGATGAAAAAAAAAAAAAAAAAAAAAAAAACTGCTATTAATACCTTTCTCCCAAAGATATGTTTTGGCCTGGAAGTCTATCCAAAGGATCTAAGAAGTTAAAGACACTGTCTTCATATAAGACAGGCAGAATCATATGAGAACAGAAAAACTCCATGCAATCTATCATACTAATCTAGTATTTGGGGGTTGTGGAGTAGGGGAGAAAAATGCAGTTATTTTTATGCTCCTGGCAGATGTAGCAACAGCTGGAGAACCTTTTAAGTGGAAGACTGTGTTTGCCTGCCTCCAGGAAGTCATGGGTGAGCCTTACCTCATCGCAGACATCAGGGCTGTTCTTGTCGGACAGGAATTTCTCTACAACTGGCAGTTTGTTCTCCAGCGCAGCTTTGAGAAACCTCGGCACATCCACAGGTTCAGCCTAAAATGAGGAAGAGAGGAAGAAATGAGAGGTGGTTAGGGAGGGAGACGGAGAGAGAGAAGGAGAGGAGAAGGAACGGGAGGGTGGTAAAGAAATGGAGGGGAAAGTTGAGAGCAAAGAAGAGAGAGATTGAGGAGAAAGGAAGAAAAGGGTCTCCCCTCCACAGCACTCACCCCTGCAACCCACATGGTTGTACAGTACTAGAAACCAAACAGTCCTTACAATAATTTCAGGTTCTGGTTCCTTCACAACTGCAACTTTCGTTTTCTTGTATTTTTTTCTTTTCTTCAGTTGAACAATTATTTCAAGGTCTTCTAAGTTTTCAAGCTTTGATCTTTGTCCTAGTTTTTTCTTTTTAAGCTAGAGAGAGAAAGAGAGGAAGAGAGAGAGAGAGAGAGAGAGAGAGAGAGAGAGAGAGAGAGAGAGAGAAGACATCAGATATTTAAAAATATGGTGAGTTCTAATATTTAAAGATATGGTGAGTTCTAACTGTAGTGTATAAACAACACCTGCAGTGTTTAAGGGAAGTGTGTGAATGGTTTGCTCATAAAGGAAATTTAAAACACTTTTAGGTAAATGTCTGACTTCAGTGATTTTTTTTTTCATTAAAGTATCTGGGGTCAAATTTTAATCTGTCTTATTTGCTTTCTGTGCTTATAGAGCTAGCTCTTGACTAATTGGATGGAGGCACAAAGGAGTTTCTCAGTGATCATTTTGTAATTAGTACCATAAGCCCCAGATTTCTATAGAATTTGTTTTCTCACTCTCAAAAACTAAAGTATGTTTTAGCTAGGAAAGAAAATGCATATTAAGGTCTCAGATATCGATGCATTCTCTCTCAAGTGGTCCCCACTACTCAGAGTCTCAGACACAGAGACCACTGCCAACTGGTGCACTTGTTATTATGTTAGTGAGCTATAAACTTCAATAAAAACGTCAACAAAAATTAATGTCAATAAGTATAGCAAACTTATTCTGACTATGATCCATGACAACTAATGTTATCAAAAAGAAGAAATCTCACCTTGACATTAAGTAAACAGTGTGCCCCATTGGGGTTTCCCTAATTATGATTGTCTTTCTGTCTTTTGACCAAAACATAGCACATAAAATCATTGATTCAGAATCCAGAGGTCATGGTCTCAACTCAGAATCATTTCCCCAATTATTTCAATGTATACTACCTCTTTGCATCTTTGTGGGTTCAAATTTGGTGAAGAGCCATCCTTAGAACAGTTTATTTATTTTCCTTCTCTCTTCCCATCTTCTTCCAGGGATCTCCACACCCCAGTGTCCCACTAGTAGATTCTAAGGAAGGCCCTTACCTCTGCCTCTCGCTGTTTCTCGCTTTTCCATTGTTGCTCCTCTGGGTTCACGTGGTGGACTGGAAGTGTCTTCAAATCCTCTTGTTTCTCCAAAGCAATGGCAGCTTCATATTCGCCAGCTCTGAACTCCCCAGGAAGGAATTCCCCTGCAACCCCACTGCTGTTCTTCTTGCCTGTCACCTACATGTGAGGAGGATGGTGACATCAGAACCAGTCTGCCCATCTTAGGCTCACTCTCCACAAGAGACGCTGCAGGAGGCCCTCAGTCCTTCCTCCCTGATGACGGACACATTCAGGCAGTGCACTGTCAGAGGCGTCACTACAGATCTCCCAGGATGACCTTCGGGTCCTGTCTAAATCTCTCAAGACGAAGACGAGGTGTGTATCAGGTTGACACACATAAATTCACTTTTAGCCACACGACCTACTTTCTCTTAGGAAATTCACTAACTAAATTCACCTACTTTTCAAATCTTTCATTTCAGCCTTGAGTTGTAAAGTTCCCAGACAATTATTTCTGCAGGAAAATTTGTACCTCAAGCCATGATGACTACATTATTGCATATCATAGTAATGAAACCCAAGGAGAGGACAATAAAGAAGAAATATGCAGAAAATGCATTGCAGTCAGCTCCCCCCACCACCACCACTTTCTCTTGTTTGATCACATAAACAAACCCTGCCCCACACTTGACATTTACAGGCTTCCCTTACATTGTGCCTGAAAAGGAAAGGGCATCTGAACTTTCGAATCAAAGCCAAGATGAGGCAGGTATTGCCAGGTGAGAAGATGTCTTACATACCAGTTCTTCTACCCTCAGCACCATCATATTGGCAGCGGTGGGTCTATGTTCTCCTCTCTCGTGGATGAACCCCTGGAGTTGGCTCTGCGGAGTCCCTCCACACCAGCTGGTTATATAGTTAGGGCTGGGTGAGATAATCTTCCAACCTGGGAAGTCAAGTATCACCCCTGCCCCGCCCCCACCGATTGCCAACTCAGAGGCAGGTGAATTTTCATTCCAGACTCAGTGTCTGGGAAGCCCAAGAGGGAGGAGATGACAAGCTGGCCACAGTGTGTGCGAATCAGGAAGAAATGTGAGAGGGCCATTCCTTTGGCAGTGACCACACAGCTCAGCAATGCGAGTCATCCTACTTATCGGGAAGCCAGGGACAGCTGTCTGTTAATATTGCACCACATTGCTGCTCTTTTCCCTTCTTTGCCAGCTTTCATATGACTAGCCTATCAAGAAAATGCAAGCACTGTGCATCACACTCACAGGAATACGATATCTTTCTGATAAGTGGACTTATCAGCACTCCAGTTGGGGGGAAGTGTTGCTTCAGGACATCCTATTCCTGTGGATAAACAGCCCAAGAGGAAGGAGGTGGGTCTTGGTGGCACTTGTCTATATCTGTTTGGAATTCTCTGGAGTGATGTCTGGGGCTAAAATGGCCCCATGACATGCCACCTTACCATCATTACAAGAAATTGAAAGCATTCAGTAATGCACTTTTATTTTATGGTGTCACCGGCCATAATTAGCACATGGCATGCTTACTGTGTTCTAAAACTGAAGGCTAATCAAGAGTGTTTCCCTCAAAATGGATCAGTGTGGTCCAGAGACAGGTATGAGGCCAGTTATTAGCAGAAGCACAACCTTGATGCTGTCATGGAGATAAAGTTTTCAAATGCTGTGGGGAAAGCTTGAGTAAGCCTGAGGAAAATGCAGATTTGAAGCTGGAGACTTGTGGGCTAATGATAGAGCATCTGCCTAGATACAAGAGACTATTGTGTTCCATCTCTCACCCTGAAACAAGAAAGCCACAAGCTTTGCTCCTGAGAGAGGCAAAAATGGTTGTTTCTGACTTCTCATCACGGAGGTGTTATATTATGAAAAATAAAAATATTTAAGTCTTTTTATAGTTCAAGGGAAAGATTATATCTTCAAAGTCACTTGCAAGACTTTTTTTATGAAAGGGAAGGAAGAATGAAAGGAGATGTTAGTATTGGAGGGAAGTGTTAATTAGTGGGTTATGTTTGCTGTTAGACCTTTTATGTCTGTTCCTCCTCAAATCCACCGTTCAGTGAGCATGGTTGCTATTCTCACCCCTACAGCTGAAAATATTCATTCAATAAATTGTTTCTAGAACCTTCAGAATGAGACATTGTCCTGAAAACTAACACACTGACTAATACCTTGTATTTCATGGGGTCACCTCTCTTAATGTTCTACCCTGAGAGAGGCTATCAAAGGACAACAATAGCTCTCTTCTTTCTCATGGTTAACACCACCTCCTTTGGTCACTTGCAGTCAGAAGCAGCTATATTGCTTTTTTCATTCTTGTGGCCTTATGTTCAGACCTGGCTCAGAACTAAGGGGAGCGTGTGAGCTTCCCCTTGAAGAATGCCTCTGGGGTGTTGAGCAGTCTTGAATCCCAGAGCTCTTTGCATCTTCCAAGCTCAAGCAAAGCCAGGGATCTAGTTTTACAGAGAGGACACTGGGGCACAGAGACACTAGGCAGCTTGCTAGTGTTTAATGCATAGCCAGATGGTGAGGCTCTCATAATTCCACCCATGAGAAGCAGAAAATTGTGAGACCAGATCAAGTGTCCTGACATGGTTCCTACTCAGATTTACCCAGAGCCCAAACAAGCCTGACTGAAAGGTTTCTGTGAGCATGTCACTTCCGAGAATGCAAAATCAGGATGAAGGTTTACCATCCTCTCTCCACTCAGGTGGTTTCCCTAGAATCAGGCTGATCCTGAAGGAGAAGCTCCAGGAAATCCCAGTGAACACTTTGTAGAGGTTGGGCTTGAAGGGGCATTGGAATGAGCAGAATTCACAAAGGTGAAGAACTAGGAAGCTTTCATGGCTGGCAAAGCTACTGACAGGCAGACTTGCCCCCAGTGGTTTAGGTTTGTCATTACTAAACATGAGAGGATCCTCTTTGGATTGTTTACTCTGGTGTGTGTGTGTGTGTGTGTGTGTGTGTGTGTGTGTGTGTGTGTGTGCTGGGCATGAACACAAGGCCTCGGGCATGCCTATCTATGTTAAGTGCTGTACCACTGAGCTGTGCTTCAATCCTAAGTGTGGATTTTATTTTATTTTATTTTTTTGAGTCTAGATGCATGTAGGTCCCTAATAACAGATAAGGAAAAATTGTATTTTAAATCATTTTTATTAATCAAAATCGAGGGCAAAACTTCTCAACTGGAAAGAAAACTCACTTGATTTTAAGGCTCTTTCTTCCTATGAAAGTTCACATGGCAGATAAACTCAGAGGTTTGTATGTTTGACTTTATCACAGCCTCTGGGCATAACCTTCTTTGCCAAGATAGATTAAAGCAGCAAATCTCTTAGTTGAATCTCCAATCATTTAGCAATGCAATAGCAAGCATCTTTGATGAGAACCAGCAAGAGAATGACTCCAGAGCTCAGTTGGTGGGACTGTGCAAGCTTTGCTGTCTTCTTGGATTTATGCTTTAATGCATGAAATGACAGATGGTCAGAATCATAATCCTCTCTAGAGCAAGAACATATGTGAGGCAGAGAAGTATTCACTACTGGTACCCAGACCCCACCTAGGCTCAGGTGCTATAGTTCAACTACAAGGCTAATTTTGTCTTTCTGCAGATACAAAATATTTCATTTTCATACATCTGGCTCTATTTTTAATTGCATGGGTAACATGCACATCATTTTTAAAGATCAATAACATGGAGAATGTTTGTCTCTTGAGCACTTACTGAGTGTTAATTTGATGTATGACTTTTCCACTTATTAATAGGCCTTAGAGATCATTCTCTACCAGCACAAACAAATCTACCTCATTATTTTAAGGAGCTGGATGATTTAAACATATGAAATGCATATCTTATTTGACTTCTCTCCTATTTATGAGCAAGGCATTTTTCACAATGGTTGCTTTTATTTGCTATAACTGAAGGCGTTTTATAAAGCACATCAAATTTTATTGTTATTAACATTCCTTGACCTTAAAAAACCTAACTCAACACTAAAAGAGGAGCCCCAAGGACTGGCCAGATTCTGACTTGGAAGACATCTTGTTCCACTGTTGCACTTACACTTGCTTCTTTGCCAACCCCTGAATAGCCTCCTGGTCCCAGCTCTTGCTCACCTTCCTTGGCTCAGACAAATGCCCGGAATCCAAGTGTCCTTACAGCCAAAGATGACTCACTGGAAAATGCCAAAGGGAAGTCAAGGAAGCAAGCAAACAAGCTTTAAGGTTGTTTCTCCTCACCTGCCAACCAGGAATTGAACCATCCATGTATGAACAGCATAAAAGTATGCTGAGAACATTTGAGCAGTGTTTTGGCATCCACTGTTAAGGGACAAAAATGAAATGCTTCTACGCTGGGCTCTGAATAGGACTGACTTGAGTGGCAGAGAGTTACTGTTCAGAATACTAGAGGCCTCCTGACACTAGGTAGGTAAAAGCTGGAAGTCTAATCTCAGACACCTTGATACAATCTACAAAAGAAATCCCAGACAAGCCTCTAAAATGATACAGTCTAGAAATGATGACCCAGTCTAGGGTTCTTGACTGGGTTCGTTTTTCTCTGCCAGTTAAAGAATTGAATGGCAGGGAAATCCTGAGGCACAAAGGCAGTGTTAGAGAATTCTTATCACAGACAAAATTAACAGTAAGGCATTTCCTAAGGATAAACAAACACTTAATTTAGGGTTCATCAGCTTGAAGACAGGCAGAATGGTTGGTCTGCCACTGTTATGTGATTTATCATAATCCAACCTTGAACTTGTCGAGTCAATCCATCAGCAGGGAGCCTGCTGGCCTGAGACAAAAGTTACCAGGCTTTTGTCTCAAGTCAGGAGGTTAAGGAAGAAGTTAGCCACCTTGGAAATTCTTCATCTTTCTTACCTAACCATGGACCCTCTCCCTATCTGTCTACCCACCAGGGAGTCTATCTGGCTCCTAATCTCTCAGCCTGACAATAGGCCATGTATAAGAGTGAAAAAAGCACCTTCCTGTCAGTTCTGCTGTTCACATTAACTCATCTCAGCCAAGGGCAACAGATATACAGACACTAGAGTCAAGGAAGTCTAACCAAGGGACAATGTCCCATGTGAAAAGTTTACTTGAGGCAAAGGCAGATAATTCCATTCTAGCAATTGACTTCAGCTAACATTCAAGATCTGACTGAGAGCCTGAGACTTCAAAGGCATAGACAAATGCTAGGCAAGCCATTGGGCTAAATAAATATTTAGCTGAACTCCAGTGAGATTCTTAAATTCATTTCCAGCCAAACCACATAGCTTGAATTCTACTTTTAGTGTGAAATAAATTGCATCATTTTTCATGGTAATTGACAGGTAATCCCCTAGTAGTAAAGAAAGTCAAGGGTAAATGCTTATGGCTGAGGACTCTGTAGGGTAACACTTCATTATAATCCTCCAAATGCTAACAAACCCTAAAGAGTGCATCCTCCCAGTTAGAGCCCCAGAGATGCAAATTAGCATTTCCTAGTGTGGTAGCTCTGAGGACTGAGGACTTGCATATCTTAGAGGGCCATGAAGCTTAAAAAACAAACAGATGAAAACTTACACCCATGATTCCAGATACACACAATACAATCTCTGCCCTTAAGAACAAATATTGGGGTTTAAGAAAACTTTCTGGTGGTGCATTCTTTTAATCCCAGCACTCAGGAGGCAGAGACAGGCAGATCTATGTGAGTCTGAGGCCAGCCTGGTCTACAGAGTGAGTGCCAGGACAGGCTCCAAAGAGAAACCTTGTCTCAAGAAAAAAAAAAAAAAAAAAAAACTTTCCACCTGGTTCTAATTTCCACTCAATTTTGAGAACATCACTCCAGGATGCAGATTTACATATGGATATTCCTTTTAAGTTGTACTAGACAGTCCAGAGCTGTCCTGACTTTGATCTAAGAATTTGATTATTAATAACTGTTATGATGAAATCCATGGGAAACAAACAAGTTAATAAAATTAATTCATTCCAGGCTGAGGATATAGCTTGGTGGTAAAGTTCTCATATGTCCAGTCCACCGTGGCCTAGTTCCTAGGTCTGATTCCCAGCACTAGGATAAGGGGAGTAG